CTTTCTCGTGCGTTGGTTTGTGGAGAGGAAGGGGGGAGTCTAGGCACTGAAAAGCCCCAGTCTCTGTGCACATTGTTGTGAGGCAGGTAAAAGCCCTGCCACCTTCCTTCTTCTCCTCCCTCCACTCCACCCTGCCTGGCATCCTGGGGATTGAGGGTTTGGAATGCAGAAGCAGGTAGGAGGCGGCGGGGCTCAGGACAGGAGGTGATGCAGATGCAGCCCCAGCTGCTGCTCAGCTCTCCCCAGAGCCAGACCAGGGACAGCGCCCTGGACACATTCTGGTCCCCCTCCTGATCTCTCCCTGCGGCTCTAGCTCCGGACTTACTTGGGGACCCCAATGGCTGAGCCATTGTCTGTGGAGGGCATCATTGCCCTGGCCAGCAGGAGGGAAGGAGACTGGCACATGTGTGCATCAGAGGGCTCTAGGGGTCCCAACAGTTCTTGGGGCTCTGTGGGCCTGGCCACCCCTTGCTTGTCCCCCTCTTCCTGTCCCTCTGTCCTCAAGTGGCTGGTTTCAAGGTGCAACTCATCACTGTGCATGCAGCTGGGAAAGCATGGAGCCTTCCCCATTGTCTTGGCTGTCAGATTTGAGTGGGAAATTCACATTTAGAGGACGCTGAGGCCAAGAGGGGGTGCCTGCTGGGGCCTCCAGGAGAAGAAACATGGGCGGCTGGGGTGACAGCACAGCTATGGAACGACCAGGCATGGGCAGCCTGCATGTCATACATGTGAGTCCTGGGGAAAGCCTGTGTGTGCAGACTCCTAGTGTGGCCTGCAGCCAGGACATAGGCAGCAGGCAGGGGCAGCTCTGGGCTCCAGCCAAAGGCCCAGACTGCTTAAGTCCCTGGCACTGGCAGAGGCTTCCTGGAGGAGGCAGGCTTCCCTGAGGCCTTGAGTCCTTCTTTGCGTGTAGCAGTTTCTTATCCACATCTCCAGTCTACCTCCAGCTGCAAAGACTCCAGAGTGGAAAGGATGAAGACAGAGTGTGTTGCTGACCCTGAATGGCGAGCTGTCACTGCTCTTGGGAGGCCCCAGTTGTGAGAGAACACAGCCATGTCCAGCCAGGTGCTTACTCCAGGAAATGGAGTAGACAGAGTAGTTCCCGATGGAGGGAGTGGCTCCTACCAGGCCTCCTTCAGGGCTCAGGGTCAGTCCATCTGCAGGCGGAGGAAGGCGGGGGCCCATGCTCTGAGGCTGGCACGACGCTCAGGAGACCCAGGTCTGGTGAGGAGAGGCTGGCTCAGGTGCTGTCAGCCCTGTGGGCCTCATTTTCTCCCATGTGATGTGGGGGAGGCATCAGTCCCAGGCCTGGGCAGGGTGCATGTGGACTTCAGGTGCGGTGCCTACCTCATGGCGCATCTTTGCGCACCTTTGCTGCCTTGGCAGACGAGGCCCAGCCTTGCTGGGCTGAGACCCTTGTGGGCTGTGCTGAGGCTTGAACTCACAGCATTGCCTGCATGTGCCCTGCTTTGCCTCAGAAGGAGAGATAGTGCTGGGCATAGAAGCAGGTGCATGGGGAGAGGGTCCCAGGCCAATGAACAGCATGAGCACCCAGACCTGGGCACTGAGGTAGGACAGCTCTGCCCGCAGTCGTGCATGTGCATGAGTGTGTGTGTGTGAACTGCAGTGTCTGTGGCCTGTGCATCTGTTCCACCTCCCACCCATCCTGTCCCCCTCTCCAGGCAGCTGGTGCGCCAGCCCTCAGAAGTCCATTCCCTCTCCTGCCGCTCCCCAGGCACCTTGCAGCCATCGGCCCTGTTTGATCTTGTTCATCCATAAATCATGGCTTGTGCAGGAGATGAGAAGCAGCTGAGAGTGGGGCAGAGCCCAGCGAATACCTGGCAGGTCTGTGGCTCCAGCTGAAGCCCAGTGGCTTCTCCGTGTGGCCGGCACAGCCCCAGGCCCCAGGCCCTAGAGACCATGTGCCCAGGTGCCCACTGAACCTCACTTGGATCCAGTAAGTCCTGGGCCGGGTGTGGCTGCCCCCAGCCTTTGGGGAGGGATTCTGGGTAGCACCAGTATAGCATTCACCTGGTACCTGGCATCAGCCTGTGCCCCAGATTCGAGCACAGAGCGCAAGCGCAGGGTAGTGAGAGTGGCTGGTGTTTTTGGCCCGCTTATCCCAGCCATGTGCTAATTCCTTTAAGCCTTGCCCAAATCCTGTGGGAACTGTGCTGTTCTTAGCCCCCACATGTGGAAGGGGAAACAGGCCAGCGCAGCCTTAGGGGCCAGGGCTTGGCAAAATCTGAGCCAGAATCAGCTTGGGAAGTCAAGCCTAGAGTCCCAGCATGTAATCACTGCACCTTAAGAAATGAATGAAGGTGGCACTGTGTGACAGGATTGTGGGGCAGACCTTAGTCCTGCTGGGTAGGCAGGGAGGGCTTCCTGGAGCAGACATTTTCCTCTGAACCTGCAGGAGTTAAGGGTGTGTCTGGCAAAGCTGAGCAGGGAAAGAAGGGGGCCTGATGTGTGTGTGTAAGAAGCCAGGACCTCTCAGGCTTGTCATTGACGCCTCCTGTCTCCTCTCTTCCATCTCATTTGGGTGGCGAATGAGATAACATATGCAAGCCTGAACATTCAACACCCAGGGACTCTGTCAGACACAAGAACATCAGGGGTACGCTGACACGGCACAGCAGAGCCACCCAGCTCCCAGGGCCTGGAGCGTGGCACACAACAGGTGCTTCATAAGTGGTTGCCCTCCTCCCACAGGCCTGGGATGCTTCCTCATTCACCCTTCCAGCAAGTGTTTATAAGCACTTGCTGCATGCTGGGCTCTGTTCCAGAGGTGAGGCATAGTGGGGGACAGACCTTTGGAGAGGGCTGTGGGTGGGCGCCGCATCATGGGCTTTCGGGTCTGATGTGTGTGTGTGGGGGGGCCTCAGGTGCCATGCTACAAAGTGCAGGCTGCACCCCCAGACTCAGTGGGAGCTCCAATCTGAGCTCTGATTGGCTGGCACCCTAGTAGAGGGACAGTACCACACCCAACCCCACACCTCATTCCCAAGACATCCCTGTGCTGGAACCTGAGCCTGCACTACCCACTGATGGCTGCTCCTCCTCCAGATCTGCCGACACTCTGCCCTCTGTGGCTCCCAGGGCCTGGGCTGTCTCCTCTGCCCAAGGGGAGGCAGTGGAACCTGGTGCTGTCAAAAACTGACTCCGACTGCAATGTTTCATTTCCCCAAATGTTAATGCACTGAGAATAAGGGAGACCATGTGTGTCATTGAGCAAACGTCAGCAGGGCCAGGAGACTTTGCCTGGAGAAGACTCAAAGGGGACATGGGGCTGTCGGAAGGGATTTGGAGACCTGTCAGGTGGCTGCATGCTCCCGTGGCTCTAGTGCGTGGGCAGAGGGAGAGTTCAGGGTGCTGTGCCTGACCTCTGCAACCCTTCCAGCTGGCGCCACGATGACCCTACACTCAGGGTGGCTCCCTCTGGCTGGTGGGTGTGCTCATACTGCACCCCTGGACCAGGACATCGTGGCGGGTGCGTGGCCCAAGGACACCTGTCACTCGCATTCACATCAAGGAGATTTGAAGTGGCAGGCTCCTGCTGCCTCCAGGGCTGTCAGAGGGAGGGAGGGAGGAGGCCGAGAGAACTGAGCCAGCTTCCTAGATGACAAGGACAGGCACTCACGTGGTGGTTGGTGGGGGACCCTGGATCACCACTACAAACAACAGAGTCCCACTTTCCTTAACAACACAACCCCTGCTTCAAGTGGGCTTCCCTACACAATTCCAAGGTGGGAAATGGGAGCCAGGCAACGAGGGGGAGAAGCCCGGTACCCACCTCAGAACCCCAGAGAGTCCAGCAGCCCTGGAGGCTCCCAAGAGCACCCTTGGAGAACACCAGCTGTGCCCCTCTGAGGCAGAGGGCATGGACCCTGGTTATCTGACCTCTCATGCCTCAGTTTCCCCAGCTATGAAAGTGAGGACAACCCATAATGCTTATCTTGGTTGTCATGGTGAGGACTGAGTTGTTCTTGCACATGGAGCACCTGGGACATCTGGTGGGCAAGGGGGGTTCCGCTCTCCCAGACAGTGGTCTTGGTGCCCACAGCTGATGTGCAGGGCCTGGTGCCCTCAGGTTGCCCAGATCAGGGCCTGAGGTTGACCATGCTTCCTGGAGTGCTGGAGAGGGTGGCAGGGGACCATTGATCCTCCTCCACAAGATCACAAGAGAGAGCTGGAGAGAGTGGGGAGGTGGAGCTGTAACTACAGGAGCTGGGATGGGCTGACCCTTCAGGTCTTAATTATCACACTCACTGGCACCCAGCATCGGGCTCTGTGGCAAATAAACCTCAAGTTTCCTTGACTCCAGGACACTGATGCTCGATGTGTGCATGTGATTGGCTGTGCCTGCAGACCTGTTACATATGCTGGCTGTTTACAGCAACCTGGGGGTAGGATGGATGTGTTCATCTGTGTTTGCAGAACAGAGAGCAAGAATGGTGGTGCTGGTCCAAAGCTGGGAGGAGGTGGGGTTCAGGTGGAAACAGGTTTCCCCATGGGCAGGTTTTGGCTGTCACAAGAGGTGATGAGTTCCACTCCTGAGAGCCCACAGTGGCCAGGGCTCAGGCTGTGGGCCAGAGGTGAAGAAGGCAGGGAAAAGTGAGCTCACAGGTCAGAGGCCCATGGCACCCCTTCCTGTCCACCTGCGGCTGGCAACTGATTCATGAGCGGAGCAGAGGCCCCCAGGAGCTCGTCCTCGGGGCTCAGAGTGTGGAGGGCAGGTTGGATGGGAGGAGGCCTTGCCTGAGGCCAGGTATTTGCAAGGGGTCCACGGTTCTGTGAAGCCCGTCCAGGCCACAGGGCACCTGCAGCCTCTGGAACTGCAGCATCCAGTTTGGGGAACGGCACAAAGACCCATAAGAGAAGCCAGAAGGCCAGGGTCTCCCATGTTACAGACCAGGAAACAGCGTGAGGGCAGAGGAGGGTTCACGAGGAGGGAGTGCAGGCCGTGGCCGGAAGGTCTGATCTGTGTGTCCCCCCTTCAGGGGCGCCCACCCGCGATGTCCTCCTGGTGTCCGCCATCATCACCATCAGCCTTAGCGTCACTGTCGTCCTCTGCGGCCTCTGCCACTGGTGTCAGCGCAAACTGGTGAGCTCCTGGGGCCCCTAGGGGTGGGGCCTAGCCTGCAGCCCCTCTCCATGCGCGGGCAGTCGGCATGCGGTATGCGTTTGGGAGCCCTACTGCACGCATCCCCTGCATTTGCCTGCGTCTAAGTCCCCTGCGTCTTCTGTCGCTCCGAGCCACACACCTGAGGACTGGCATGCCCCCAGCTGCGCTCGCGCTCCTCTGCATCAGGACCGCAGACACCTGGGAGGATTGAGATTAGGCCCCGCCCCGCCAGAGATGGGCGTGGCTTTCCCGAGCACCCAGCCAATGAGGAGGCGCCGTCCGCCCTCTCTCCCCAGGTGGGCGTGTCTGGGCCGGGCCTCACGACCAATGAGGAAGCACTATTCCCCGCCCCCGCCCCCGCCGCCCTCACATCTATCCAGACGCCCGCGTTTGTACAAGCACAAACGGCTGCTTTTCATTTTTAACGAGTGCTGGAGAATTAACGAGCAGGATTAGACCATCAATAAGTAACGAGACTGTCAGGAGGGACATTAGTCACCGGAGGCTACCGCGAGGGGCAGCTGGCTGAGCTGCCCGCCCCGCCCTAGCCCTCGCCTGTCCTGCTGGTTTCTCCAGTCTGAGGGCCCAGGGATGCAGTCTTTTGCCCGGCCGGGTTGAGAGGGGCGCGGCAGCCTTGAGGGGGCGCGGGTGTCAGCTCTGGGGAGCCAGTGACTCCCTGCAGGCCAGACGGCCCACATGACAGAGGGGAGGGCTGCAAGCAAGGGACAAATAGCCCGGGCTCCAAGCCCCACTGCTGTGGGATCATGAGGGATGCCTGTGGGGAGCACCTGAGCAGCATCTCATCAGCCAGCAGGCTTCTTCTGGAAGGCAAAATGAGGAAGCCCAGGTGCCCCTGCAGCCTGGCCTGGGAGGAGCCAGAGAGGCCACACACATCCCTTGGAAGAGTGTGTGTATGTGTGTGTGTGTGTGTGTGTGTGTGCACGTGTCAGAGAGACTGCGTGTCCCGGCTTGCAGGTGCACAGGCCCCAGCTGGCTGCCCTGCAGTGATGCGGGTCCCTGGGTCTGTATCTGTCTGTCTCTCAAGACTGGCGGAGGTTGAGTATGCCTGTGTGGCAGGGTCTGTCTGTCTCTCTGTAAAAGCAGGGAGAAAGCCGTGCACTGCTAGTGATCTTGTGTGTGTGTGTGTGTGTGCCAATTTAAGAACAAATACGTGTTTGTGCATGCTAGATCACGAGGTGGACGTCTCACAAGATCCTCGGGTCAGCTGCTGTGTGTGTGTGTGTGTGTGTGTGTGTGTGTGTGTGTGTGTGTGTGCCTGCCCCTGCATGTGTCTCTTCAGGGTCATCTTCCAGGACCAGGGTGAACTGGCCCTACCTGGCCCCTGCTCACCACCTGCAAGGCCAGAGCCTAGGGATGGGATTCGGAGATGACCTTGTTCATAGCCAACACAGGGAGGGCTGTGGGCAGCCGAGGTCCCAGCAGCCTGAAGCCCCCACCTGGGAGCCCCGTAGGGCCCCGACTAGCCTGGCCTTCTTGGCTCACTCTGGGTGGAACATGACTTTGCCCAATCCTGGCTCTAGCCCCACGGGTTCCAGACATTGGGAGCTCTCTGTCCACCAGTCTCCTTGCTGCAGAGGAGGTTGTCACATGCTACCTTCCCGGTGTTTGCCAGGCTCCTCATGCCTCCTGTCCCCTGGCAGCAGTGGCATGATGTCTCCACAGCACAGATACTGTTTCCAAACATTAATAACTTCCTTCCTCTTCACTGGCTGGTTGAAATCTGGCCACCCCTCGCTGGCAAGTAGGCAGGGATGTGGGGTCCTTGGGAGCCACCTGAGGGGTCCTGGAGCAGCTGAGTTCCTGTGGGCTTGGGCTGCCTGCTGCATTTTTCCTCCCCTCCAAACTGTGTCTTTCCCAATTCCTGTCCCCGTGGTGCCCCAGCTCCTGCCACAGAAAGAGTCTGCAAGCTATGGAAGGAAGAGGGGCAAGCAGAAGCCTCCAAGATGTTCTAGGGGGCAGGGTCACTATCCCCAACTGGGCCAGCCTTGGGGCAGAGGCAGCTAACATTCCTTAAATCAGAGGGTATAGGGGCATTAGAGATGCCTTCAGTGCCACCCTGCCCCATACTGAAGGATCCCAAAGAGTGCTGGGAGCTGGGCTGCCACTTGGGGGGTCCTGCCAGGGACAGTCCCAGCCACCACAGGGTGGCCCAGCCCTGATGTGCTCAGCCAGCACTGGGCGTGACTTGGGATTTGAACTTGTGGGTAATGATGAGAGGGACTGAGGGTTCACAATGTCTGGGTTCTAACTCCAAGGCTCAGCTCACAGGCACTGACTGGACTCTAGGGCTGGTTGTGGGGGCATGGAAGAGGTGCTTCTTCCTAAGGATTTCCCATGCTCCATTCCAGAGCATGGGAACTAAAATGAGTGAGCCTGGAAGTAGCCATGTCTAGGGGGAGGCCCTTGCCCTGTAGGGTTCACCTGGTTGCATCACTCTCTCAGGACCAAGGGGCATGCAGCGTTGCATGGCACTGTTGGAGACGCCTGTGGCTGGCAGGGGCTGCAGTTGGCAGGTGCCTCCAGCCAATGGCCCTGGCAGCCCCTGCATTGCTCTAGGGAGGATGAAGTAATTGACTGTCGTGGCTGCAGTGCAGGGGAATGAGCACGTGTGTGGGGGGGCACGTGTCTGTCCCCACTCAGCTGGGCAGGGTAGGCCAATGTGTCTGTGACAGCCACCTTTACACAGCGAAATCCCCACACCCTGGCCCAAGCCTGGGACCGGGGGTGCGCATGAGGACAGGTGGTGGCTGCCAGGAATGTAAATGGGGCCCCTGCTTGGCTGGAGCTAAATTTAGAAACCAAACTGGGAAGGTGAATGCTGCTCACCTTCCCAGCCACTGGCTGGGTTGCCACCATACTCTGTTCTTCCCTGTAGCCCCCTATGCCAGGGCTAGGGTGGGGTGGTGTCCAGGCTGGGGTCATCTCCCACCCCAAGCCAGCATCCCCACAGCCTGGAGCTCAAGGGCACCCAGGGAGGTCTGAACCCTGCTGGATGCAGGACAGGACAAGAACCTGGCCTGACCCCACCCCCACGGCCCGCATCATTGGTCACTGCAGTCCTGCCCTGCAGGAGGCCGCCCCCACCATCTGGGGATGGTGACGTGGCCAGTGTGACGTGGCTGGCGCCCGAGAGCTGTCTGACCATGGCAGAGGGACTGTGTCTGGGCACCAGGCCAGAGGCCTGGGAAACAGTAGACAGGCTAGGCCTGGCACCTGGCCCCAGGTGCCAGGTGCATGTCCTGGGAGCCAGGTGGGTCCTAGAGTCAGCCAGGGCTGATGCCCTGCAGCAGCAACACCCCTCAGGTGGGGAGAGGTCTCACCACCCTCTCCTTTCACCTGAGGCTCTGTTCAGTGGGAACCCCATTGGTGATCCCGTGCTATCTCTACAGGGCAAACGCTACAAGAACTCCTTGGAGACCGTGGGCACGCCAGATTCTGGGCGTGGGCGGAGCGAGAAGAAGGCCATCAAGTAGGTGCCAGCCACCAGTCTGGGGGCACATGGCAGCCCAGGTGGGAGGAGTGCCTCCTACCCCCTGCTCCTCAGCCTTGCCACACCTATGTCCACTCAGCCCCCTCATTCATACCCAGTGTCTTTGCACTCTCCATGCTCCAGTATCTTGGGGCTCCACAGCCCCCTTCTCTGCCCATTCCCTTGGACCAGCATCCCAAGGGTGCCCCTGCCCTGCAGTGGCCCTAGTTGCAGTCCCTCCATCTGGCCCTCTGATCACATACTGTCCCCAGCCCCTGCCTCTGGGCTAAGAAGCCCTTCTTCGTGGGCTTAGGTTCTGAGCCCTAAATGAGAGAGCTGACCCTGTGCTGGGCTCCTCCATCTCCTCCCACTGCCCCTCTGGGTCCTCGCTGAACCCTGAGATCTAGCCTCCATCCATCCACTTGTTCATCTATGCACAGGCAGGTCTACTGTCCCACACTGGCCTCCTCAGCTCGTACCCTGCTGAGCTTCCCGGGAGACCCTAAGGGAGGCCTTGGCCTCCCGGCTCTGGGCTGAGGCTTTTCTGGGGGGTTCCATGTCCACCACCCAGGGTGTGGCCCTGGCCTGCCACTCCAGCCTGCGGCTCTTCCCTGCCCGTTCCTTACACCACCCCTGCCCTGCACATCTCTCTCTTCCTCTGCCTTTCCTCTGCCCCTAGTCCCCCTGTGGAGAGCTCCCCCGCCCCGCCCCTCTTTTGCCCCTGCCTTTCCACCTTCTGCCCAGACCCTGTGTGGAGTTGGGATCTGAGTCCAGCGCCAGGGAGGGTGGGGAGCCAGGTCGGCTGGGTGGGAGGAGCCTCGGGAGCCTTTGAAGCTGGGTCTTGCAGAGCTCTCTCAGCCTTCAGAGGAGAGCCTCTCAAGGCTGCTGCCTGCGTGTTCAGGGTGCTTACTAGAGGCAAAGGAGTTGTGTGGGTGGAGCTGCGGCCCAGAGCAGGGTTTATGTTCCCACCAGGAGATGAGGGGTGCATGTGGCGGGCCGGCGGGCTCTACCTGGCTGGACCAAGTACCCACGAGGTTCTTGGAGTCCGTGGGAGGATTGAGGACATCTTCCGGCTTGAGTATGCCCCACCCCCGGACAGCAGCCCTGAACCGGGCTGGGTCTGCCAGGTCCCCCCACACTGCTGCGCCACTCAGCCACACTTCGCCCCCAATGCCAGTCAAGGGTTTCAGAGCCATGCAGACTTGGGAAACATGGCGCCCACAGGTCCTGCAATGAAGAAGTCCGTTTGCCCCACTTCTCTATGTGGGTCCTCTCTCATGTGCAGTGGAGGCAGACTGGGAACCCTCCTGTTCATGGGAGGCCTCCCCCTGGCCATCCCAGGGAGCCAGGGGTAGAACCCCCTGCTCAGCTATGTCCTGTCCCATGCCCTGGTGCCCTGTGGGGAGACCCAGCGGGATCTCTGTTGCGAAGAGGTCTTTGCCCTAGGCCCACCCCACCTCCCCACCTGGCCTCACCTGAGCTGGACACCTCAGGGTGTGCTTTGGACCCTCACAGGCCCCAGGTGCCCCACTTCTTTGTTTCTGAGTCCAAGATTGAGAACCAGTATGCAGGTTGAACTCAGGTAACAGCGGGAGGTCTTGAGGTCATGTCTGCCAGATCTGGGGCGTTGTCCTGCACAGCACCACCCCCAGCCAAGCCCACCCTGGCCCACCCCAGGCCTGTATGCAGCCCCCGAAGCTTTAGCATGGCTGCCTCCATGCTGACCCTCTGTCTGGGGCACAGCTTCTGTCCTCGTGGGGCTCCCAAGCCTGCCCTTTGGGACCCCAGAAGCCTCCACATCGGCATTAACACCACCCCTGGCCCCCGTGTCTGGGCACCAAGCCTGCAGCCACTGCCTTGCCAGGAAGTTCCTACATCCCACAGCCCAGCACGCCACTCCTGGGGTGACCAGCCATACAGCCGGGGTGGTGAGAGGGGTACACTGCCCTGTGAAGAGGGTCAGAGCACAGGGGCTGGCTGCCCACTGTAGGCCACACATGCCTCATCACCCTTCCCAGGGAAGATTGCAGAACAAAGGATCCTGCTGACCCTGTGGCCCTCCTGGAGACCGAGGCCAGGGCACACCCTTTCTCTGGGGCTTGAGTGACACTCATAGGGTGCAGTCCCTGTGAGTCCCCTAGGTGGAGGGGGGCAAAAGAGACTAGGGACACCTCTTCCAAGGACTCTGTGGACGGAAACTGGAAGCAGGTGGCCACCAGCCTTCTCTGTCAGGCAGGGGACACTGAGGCCGGAAGGAGGCTGGTAGTTGACCACAGGACCCCATCTACTTCTGGTGCTTCCTGCCCTACTGTCTTGCCCTGCTGCCGTCCCCTCACATGCTCTCTTCCTCCAGCTCCCCGACACGGCATGCGGCTCCGTGGCAGCCTCCTCCACGAGAGCTTGGATGTGTGCGTGTGCCGCTCAAGTGTGCACTAGCACATGTGTGTGTGTGTGCGTGCGCAGCCTCTCTTCCTCCCCCAGGAGCCGGCACTCCAGGCCCCGCCCCATGCCCACGCCCATCTGCCCCGCAGGACTGGCCTCGCAGTTTCTTCTTGTATCTCCTGTCTTCTCCCCTCTCTCTCTGCCCCTCCAGCGACCTAGACAGAGACTTTTGGAATAACAATGACAGCACAGTGCAGCAGAAATGGAGCTCCTACCCTCCCAAGGAGTTTATTCTAAACATTTCACCCTACGCCCCTTATGGCGACCCACGACTGTCCCTCAAGTGAGTGACTTTATCTGGCTTCACCCTCTGTCCTGTCTCCGCTCAGCCCTCCTGGCCCTGCCTGTCCCACCTGCCCCGTCCCCTCGCTCCCCATGGGCAGGCTGGCCATGGAGACGAGCAACCCTTCCGCTGGTGCCAGAGCCCACCTGCCTCCTAGCAGTGGGACGGTTGCCTGTTCTGGTCCCTGCCCGTGCACTGCTTCCCCTGCGTGCTGCTGCTGCCACTGCCACTGCCATGGCTGCTGCCGCCGTGGCTGCTGGTGGTGGTAGTCGGTGGTCAGTGGTGCGGTGGTGTGGTGGTGGTGAAGATCTCTGACTAACACAGCTTTCTCTCTCTCCCTGCCTGGGGCCTCCTGGCCTGGACGGCCCGCTCTTCCTCCGTCGTTAACCCTCCGTTGTCCTGTGGGATAGAGGAGGCGGCTGCCCTCCCCATCCCTGCCACCGGCTGGCGGTGGGGCGGGGCCCCTCCTTGTTGTGGTGCGTTGCTCTGACCCCAGCCTGTCCCTCTCTCCTCCGCAGGCTCCGAGTTAGCCAGCCGGTGCTGATGTCTCTCTCTCTCTCTCTGTCTCTTGTCTGTCTGGTCTGTCCCTCTCCTCCTTTCTCACTGTCTCTCTCTTCCTTTTATCTGTCAATGTCTCTCCTCCTCGCCTGCCCCTGCGCCCCTGGTGTGGCCCGCCCTCCCTCGGCCACCACCATATGCCGCTCGCATACGCCCCAGTGGCACCCTCCTGTCGGGCGCCAAAGTGGCCGCCGCGGCAGGGCTGGCGGTGGAGCGGGAAGGCCGGCTGGGGGAGAAGCCGGCGCCGGCGCCTGCGCCGCCACCCGGAGAGGACGCCTTGAGAAGCGGCGGGGCTGCCCCCAGCGAGCCGGGCAGCGGCGGCAAGGCGGGGAGAGGCCGCTGGCGGACGGTGCAGAGCCACCTGGCCGCGGGGAAGCTCAACTTGTCCAAGTGAGTGATGGCGCCCGTGGCTGCCAGAGGATCGGGGAGCTCAGGCTGCCTGCCAGGGTGGGCAGCGGGACCCGCTCGCCTGCTGCCCCCCCCCCCGCCCGCAGGTGCCATCCTCGGCCCGAGCTCATTCCATCCTTTCATGAGACCTGCCATCGTCTGCTACCCAGCATAGCCCACCCAGCCACAGTGTTGCATTTCAGCCCCTGGCGGCAGCTCCTCAGCCACCATCACCTCCCAGTGGCCAGAGCCATTCCACCCTCTGGCTTGTCCCTTGTGGGCAGGGGGCCCGGCCCTCCTGTGTCAGCCTGTTTCTGCTGCCTCTCATATCCACAAGGCCTCGCCTCCCCCTGCTGGCAGGCAGCTCTAGATCTAGCCCTGGGTGTTCCCCTGGGGGCCACCGGCTGACTCCATTGCTTGTCCTGTCTTGCTTGGGCCATGACACCATCTGTTGCCGGGCTCCCCCCATGAGCGGCCACCAAGCTGCCCCCATCCACTTCATCTCAGCCCTCCCACAACTGCCCCAGTCTTGGCCAGCAAGCTGACCCTCCTTGACCAGCTGCAGAGGTTGAGCCCTGGCTGGCTTCTCTTTCCTGATGCCAAAGAGTAACCCCGACCCTACCAAGGGGAGCTGTCCCTCTCTAATAGCTTGTCAGACATTGGCCCCACCCTTGAGGGATGGATATAGGGTGGTTGACCCTGTCTTCTGGAGATGACTGGTCCCCTTCCCTGTACCATAGTGGCTTGTTCTTGTCATGGCTTTCTGAAGCCTCCAGGCTGCGTGGTGCACTGCCTTCCAGGTCCTGGGCTACCTTCAGCTATGCCCCTGCCTTGTGTGCATTGCCAGACTCACCTCCCAGCCCCTTCTTAACAGCTGGGCCCCCCTGGACCCTCCTGGTTCCCTTCAGAAGTTAGAGCTAGGGGCCGCTGAGGACCCCTGGTTGGGACCTCCTTTGCTCATTGGCTTGAGTGAGCACAGAGCCATTTTTTCTGACATCTGGCCTCAGCAAGGGCCTGTGGGAGGTTCCTTCCCCTGCCTGCCTGACTGCCCGGCCTGCCTCCAGGGTGGTAAGGCCTCCATGCCCTACACTGGCTCCAGGCCTAGAGGCACCAATTTTAGTTCCCTACGACTGAGAGGTTGTAAATTCGACTAATTTTGGATGTGATAGGAAACCAAAATGAGGTCAGTGAGGAGGAGGTGGCCACTGCGTGCCGTTCTCCCTTGATCTCAGCCCTGGCTGTCTCTGGAGCTGTGGGCTCCGCTGGTGCCAGACGGAAGCCTTGTTCTGGGCCCTGGTCAGGCCAGGCTGCATCCCAATGGGACCCCAGGAAAAGATGTTCTGCTTTCTCCTCCCTCTCTCTTGCGTTCTCTCTTTGCTATGCTCTGGTGCTCTCTCTACCTCCCCTCTCTCTGTCTCTGTCTCTCTTTCTGTCTCTGTCTCTCTCTCTATCTCTGTCTCTCTCTCTCTCCTCTCAGCCCACAGGGGCAGTCTAACTGTTGTCTTTTGGTTCCCGTGTAGGTTTTGGGGTGTCAGAGGCAGGATCTGGTTGTGGTGGTGAACGCGGCTCCCAGGGGCCCTGGACCTCCTTTCTGCCTTCCCAGAGGGACACAGCTGCCACATGACCCCAGATCAAGGGTGACCAAGGGTGAACAGCAGGGGGCATGTAGGATGTGTGCAGGCTTTGCAAGACCAGCTGGCTCTCACACTACTCAGCCCCAAACCCTACAACCAATGCCGGGGGCTGTGCTCCAGGAAAACTTGATTCCCAAGCCACCGTGCCAACCCTACCCTAGACTGCCGGATTGGCAGAGGGAGGGAGTAGGGAGGGGAACCCTTGAGGCCGAGGGAGTGAAAGGCTTCTCCAGGGCCCCAGGTAGTGAGTGACTCTGAACCCCAACTCTGGCCCTGCATGGCCTGCAACCAGCTAGGTCCTGCCTCCTGTCCAACCTTGCCCCAGCCTTTCCCTGACCCCAACATTTCTCAGAGCTGCTGACAGCCTGGCATGGGGAGCACCTCATGGATGCATAGAAGACAGGGGAGTCACCCATTCTCTGTCAGAACAGGGTTGAGGGGCCAGGACAGGGGGCTGAGGCTCCTGCATGCTCTTTTCTTGGTCCCTTCCCTGACAAGGAGCTGCTCCTGCGAACCAGGGGTGGCTTCCCAGACCTGGAAGCCTTGTCCTCTCCTGCCCCGGGACCAAAGCACAGGAGCCTGAGCTCCCCTCAAGCCAGGTGTTACTAGGCCAGGTCTGCACTGCCCTGAGCCTCCTCTTCCTCCGGATTTGGGGGAGTGGGAGCCCAGAGTCTCCAGTGAGACTACACCCTCCGATCCTAAGGAGCCCGCCTTCACCACACAGCCACGTGGAGATGGGGTCCAGGCAGGGGGTGTGGGTGCCAGCCAGCCAGCCAGGCTGGCTGGATGGCAGGAGGTCAGGGCCGGCCGGGGCCCTGCACTGGGGCCTCCTGGCCCTGGGCTTCTTTCTCCTCCGCTCCGATCCCTTCAACCGCTTCTCCTTTCTCTCCTCTCCTCCGTCCACCCCAAGTTTCGAGGACTCCACCCTGTCCACGGCCACTACCCTTGAGTCTATCCCCAGCTCCACGGGAGAGCCGAGGTGCCAGCGACCCCGCACCCTGACGCGGCAGCAGAGCCTGCAGCAGCCCCTGAGCCAGCACCAGCGGGGCCGGCAGCCCAGCCAGCCCACCACCAGCCAGAGCCTGGGCCAGCTGCAGGCCCATGTGGCCGCGGCGCCCGGTGCCAACCCCCGCACCCAAGGCCGCGGCCCAGCCCGGCAGGCCACCTCGGCCAGCTCCAAGTACCGGGCGGCTGGGGGCCGCAGCCGCTCCAACCCGGGCAGCTGGGACCACGTGGTGGGGCAGATTCGAAACCGAGGCTTGGACATGAAATCCTTCCTGTAAGTCCTCCCCCAGAGTGGCCGGCCCACCCTCTCCCTCTCCCAAGTCTCCTGGGCTAGCTGATCCTGCACCCCGCGTGTGCCTCCACAATCTGGCAGGGCACAGGCAGGCTCTTCCTGAGCTCAGAGAAGCCTCCGGTGGATAGGGCTCAGCAGCTCCTGAGAACGGCCCCTCCTGGCCAGGCTGACCCCCTATCCTGCCCTTGGAGGCCCTGCCCTCTTCCTTGCCTGCCCTCCCTCCATACCTGCTCTCTACACCCCAACTAGGTGGGTGGGCAGCCTTGGTGGCCCGTACTCCTTCCTACCTCTCATTTCCCATGCCCTCTGACATTTGGGAGCCACCTGTACCCCAGCTGTCTCCTCCAGTGACAGCTTGGCCCCCTGGTCCCCCAAAGCTTCCAGGCATGTCGCTTCTCAATCAGGTTTCTTCCAAGTCCTGAGAGGCTGCCAGAGTCTAAGCTGTGCCACTGCCCTGGCCACTCACCCCACTAGTTATGTCCAGGAAGCCCCAGCACCCTTCTGGGCAATGACACTGGCTCTTAGGGCCCAAATAGGTATGGGCTTCAGCTCCTGGCATCACCTGCCACCACTGGCCTAACATGAGCATCCCTCTAGGTTCAGGGGTTCTTCAACTGCCCAGGCCTTCCTGGGCATACTTTTCAGGAGACCAGTTCATGAGGCTGGGAGAGGAGAAAGCTAGAAAGAAGGGAAGCCTAAGACCAGCACCCAGCTCACTGACAAGATGTAAGGCGAGAAGGTGAACTCTTCCTGGGAGCACCCTGTGTGTCCTGCAAGAGCCTAGCAGAGCTTCATAGCAGGGCAGGCAGAAGAGCCGCCCAGAAAGCCCCTGCGAGAAGGCCACTGCCTGCACCGTGCAGTCCAGGGCGACGTGCTGTGGAGGTGCTCCTTGTGAATGGGGACAGTCTCTCCTTCGACCCTCACAGGCCACCCAGAACCTTCCCCAGATGGGACAGCCAGCCAGGACACTGCCATGCAGGTGCAGAAGGCCAGGAAAGATGCAGTGCTGGCAGGGACCCTGCAGGGCATCACTGCTACCCTGGCACGGACACAGCTGCAGGCCATCACACACCCCTAGCATCAGGCTACGTTCACCCCACCACCCCCTGGTTCCCATCCCCAGCTGCAGGAGGAGCCCAGGTGGAACAGGATCCGATGGGCATGGTACAAGAGTTGGTGTCCTGTGCCCAGGCCTCTTAGCACCAGCCCTGCCCCTGCCCATCACGTGGGGCCTGGCATCTCCCCTCCTCCCTGCACCCCATGAAGGCCAGGTCATAAACATCTCAGGCCTTACAGGTCACATGTGGTTTTCACTGTGGTTTTTTAATTAGCACTTTTTAAAACTGTAAAATGCTTTCTTACTCGTGCTCTGTGCAGAAACAGGCTGTGACCCAGGGGTGTGCAGGCCCCTGCACCCCAGGCTTCTCCAGAGCAGAGGCCCACGTGCTGCTTAGTGGGCACAAACACCTCCTCAGTGCAGCCGTGTCCCCAAGCCTCGGGCCCTGGCCCTGCAGCCCTCAGCACTGCAAAGGATGACAAAGGGCTTCTGTGCAGTGCTGCTCAGTTTTTTAAGAAGAGTGGAAGGAGTTTCTCAGAAATGCAGCAACAGGGGAAAACGAGTTGCTTTCATCAGCCTGCCTTCCCATGGCAGCCAAGTGGAATTTTACCAACTCCAGAGCCAGTGGGTAGGAGCTGCAGAGACAGGAATTCATCCTGAGGGAAGGGGCAGATTTGGCCCCCCAAGTTAGGGCCTGCCGTGAGCTGTCCCCGGGGCAAAGACACAGAAACAGAGAAGGAACTGTGGCCGTGCCCTTGCGCCTCCTGAAGCTGTTTCTTGCCCCTTGGGGTACCCTGTTGACAGCTCCCCGGGAATGGTCCACCCGCTCTTGCAGTCCCAGCCTCACGTCCTCCCCTGAGCCCTCCTCCAAGAACCTCCTACATGGACCGAGCTCCACAAAACGCCCAGAAGTGCCCCTGGGAAGAGCAGTGACCGCAGCGGTCCTCGGAGAAAGCCATGGGCTCTGGTGCCACACCACTACCACACCCATATCCAGTATGCTGGTTCCCATGCCTCTGCAGCAGCCCCACTGGGGGCCCACATCCACCTGCGGGCAGATGCTCTTGCTGCCTCTTGGACTGCGCCTCTGATAGGAGGCTCTGAGCAGACACGGTGGCCTGGCAGTCCCTCCTGGATGTGTCAGAGGGGGTATACAGAAAGGGCCACTGTGCCCGGGACCACTGTGGGAAGGGACATGCCTTCCCCCTGCACCTGCAAGAGGAGGTCTTGGGAGCCCTCTGGCTTCTAAGGCATCAGGCTGAGAGGCCCAGAGGGTCGAAGTGGGTTTCCGAGTTCTCTGGTGGTGAACAGAATATGTGGCTTCCTGGAGCCCCCAGCAGTGTACACTCCCACCAGCCATGGGGTGCCAAGCCGGGACTCTGACCTCCTTATGCCACTGACCCTCCCCGCCCTTCCCCTCCCCTTCTCCCTTCTCCCTCCTCCACTACAGTTGATATTGCTGAAGTTTGGTTTCTCTCCTGCAGGGCCAGTTTCTCACGCTCTTTTCCTGTTTTTCTTTGTCTCTGTCTCTGTCCCCCCCTCCCCACCCTGCCCCTGGGGCCTTCTCGTTGCATCTCGCTGCTGGGCCTCCCCGGGCAGGGAAGGCCGGATGGTGGTGCTATCCTTGGTCTTAGGGCTTTCGGAGCAGGATGACTTTGCCAATATCCCTGACCTGCAAAACCCAGGAACCCAGCAGAACCAGAACGCTCAGGGGGACAAGAGGTACGCGCTCAGGCGGGGCCCGAGGCAGCGGCAGCAGCGGGAGCAGCGGATGAGGAGGCGACGGTGCCGCCTTCGGCGATGCTGGAGCTGGAGGACCGGGCCTCCCAGCCCCTGGGCACCCATCCTGGGACCATTCTGGATCAGGCCTGCTCCCCGGCACCCTTGCCCTGGCCTGGAGCAAGCCCCCCCTGCGCCATCTGCTGCTTGGCTTTCCTCTGCTGTCCATCTCATCGCTGTCCACCCGACCCGGAAATGCCTGTTTCTCGGTGGTTGGTGGCCTGGGGGGATGTCAGGGAGGGGTGCCAGCCTGTGCTCCCTCATCCCCTCTGCCTCAACCTCCCTGGGCCCCAAGGGGGGGCGGAGAAAGAGGAGCCTGGTGAGGAAGCCTGGGAGAGCCCTAGGGACACAGCCCTGTCAGCAGGAAGTAGGCCAGGCTGGTGGCCTTGGCCAAGCTGAGACTGGCCCTATGGGCGGGGCGGCCACTGTCCTGTACTGGCCTGGCCCACTCCCCCACTTCTGGTCCCCAGGGGAGGGGCAGGACCATGGGGACCCTCTGCAAGCCTGGGCTGCTGACAGCCCAACTCAGCCGCTTCCTGCAACTGTTGGCTGGGTAGAACAGGGAACCCTAAAGCCCACTCAGAGCCTTTGAGGATGGGATGATGTCCCAGGCTGCCACAGGAGCTGGCAGTTAGGACAGGTGGACAGGCCGAGAGCCAGCAGATCAGTGTTTCTGGGACCCCCTCTATTATGGCCTCATTGCAAGCCAGGGCTGGCCCAGGTGCCCAAGGAGGGTGGGGCTATTTCCAGGCCTGGGCCTGGGTCTGGGCTGTGGCAGGCAGAGGAGCTGGGGGCCTGGGGAAAGGCTGGGGTACAGCTGGGAAGGCTGGAAGTGTGAGGGAGCAGATCTGGAAACAGATTTCTCTTCACCGGTGCCATCTCACTCCTGTCTGCATCCTTGCTTGAGGAGACTCTATCACCATAACCCATCTCTCTGGTCACTATCCATTGCCTCTGCCCACCCAGATAGGTGTGGGGGAAGGCCCTGTGCCCCCACCCAGCCAGCTACAGGGACCTTGTATGTCCCCTCTCCCCACTGCCAGAGTGGCCCCCAAGTGCTCCTTCCCAGGCCTGAGAGTCCCCTGGGCCTCCCCAAGCAGGCAGACCAACCCTGAGGTTCAGCATGGCTGCCCCAGGGCCCAGGGTCCTGTCTTGCAGTGCTGGGTGTGGCCATCTTCCCCAGCCCCCTTTCTGCCCAGCTGGCCAGTTGCTGAGGGTAAGTCCCTGCCTTGGTCCATTAGCCACATGCTCACAGGGACAGAGCTGCAAGCAGGGTGGCTACCCCAGTGTCAGGAAAGGTAAGGGTACATCTGGCAGGCCAGAGGAGGGATGACTCCTGCCTCATACCCTGTGGTCTTCGGTGGCCCTAGACCTTGGTATAAAACCCCAAAACTCAAGACCCAAATGGTTTTCACCCAGTGCTTGGCCTCTGGCCTTGTGCCCCACTGGCTACCCCAGGTCCCAGGCAAGGTAGAGATGTGGCTAGTAGTCCCTGCCTTGTCCCCATGGGGCAAGCCTTGTTCCCTAGCTTTGGAGCCTGGTGCCCTCAACCTCAAGCCCTGTGCCCCGCTGGCCACACCCCAGGTCCCATGCTGGGGAGGTGTGTCTAGTGAGCCATGGACAGGTGGGAGCCCCTGAGCCCCAGCCCGGCATCTTGGCCCATACCTTTGCATAGAGCCCTATGTCCTTGGCCACTGCCCCAACCTCCCCTCCAACCCCTCACCCTGCTCCGCCCTGCCACGCTCAGCCATCCTCTCTCCATCGCTTCTCAGATCCAAATGGTTGCCACTGTGACCCCAGCCACCCTGGGGGCCAGGCCACCCCATTGCTCAAGGCCTCCGAAGCCACCATGCTCCCTCCGCCCTGTGTCCAGCTCCTCTGCCTCTCCTGTGGCCGCCTGGCTCCTCGTACCCGTCCACCCACAGCCTCTTCCGCTTGACTCTGATTAACCTTTCTTGTGTCCTCTCTCTGTCATCTCTTCCTCTGTCTCTCCTTCCCATCTGCTCCTCACAGGGTGTCCCTGGGCCAGTGACAACTCCTGGCCTCCCCCTGCCTCTCCCGATGCCTCAGTCTCTCTGTCTCCATCCCGTGACCTCCAACAGCTTTCCCAGGCTGCTTTGCAGCTGTGCTGGTGCTGCAGTTTGGCCCGAATTACTCCGTGACTCTCGTACCCTCAGTTCTATTTTTAACCTGACTTTACCTCTCCAGCTCTCTCAGTGTCCTCCTCCTCCCCGTGCCTGTCCTCCTGAGCACGTGTCTGCAAGTGTGTCCGAGTGTACAGCGGCGGGAGTCCCTGTGTGTCAGTGGCGGGCGTGTCGAATACCCCATCACCAGGGTGTCTGTCTCCGAATCTGCTGCCTGCTTTTCCCTTTCAGTTGTCCCAGTTCACACGCACTCACCAGGGCATGCTGGGGCCCCGCACGGGTCTCCTGGACACCTGGGTGCCGTCATCATGCCTGCCGTGTCCAGCTGTACCCATGCATTCTCCCAGAGTTCCCCCTGGGCGTCTCTGGCTATGTGCACTTGTGCATTTGTGTATCTGTGTGTGCACGCTCACTGTGGGTCCCTCCACGGCCAGGCATCCGTGCATGTCTGTCTGTGCCCATGTGCTGGCCAGGTCTGTCCAGTGGCCATGCCTTGTGTCCAGCTGTGTGGCTCCAGGTGTGGCTGTGCGCTCGCCAAGCTGTCCTGTTGCAGCCCACCCCAGCCCCACGCTGCCACCCATCCCTGCCCACTGCCCACCCAGCTGTCCTCAAGGGACAGGCTTTAGTGCCCTTCCCCAGCCCCAGCTGAACAGAGATCCCAGCTTCCTGAGAATGGCTTGGAGCAGGGTGCAGCTGGGCTACTGGGGGAGCTGTCTCTCTCAGCTTGGGTGAGGGCTTGTCCCACATGCAGCCCCACCAAAGGGAGCTGGGTGGGGACCAGTGAGCATGGGGTGCTGGCTTGCTGTGTCCAGAAGGTGATCGATAACCCTACATTGCCTTACATGACAAAGATGGGTGTGGTGGCACGTACCTGTAATCCAGGTGCTTGGAGGCTGAGGCAAGATCACAGGTGCCAGGCCAGTTGGGGCAGTTTAGAGACACTGTCACAAAAGAGATAAGATAACCAGGGGGCTATGACTCAGTCCCCAAGAGTGTGGAAAAAGAATTACAGTTCTTGGTCACACTCACTGGGCACACTCACTGCCAGTGGTCAGTTGCCAATGGCACAAGGGTGTGCCTGTCATCATGGGACCCTGTAGGCAGGTGGTGCGGACACGGTGCTGAGGGTGGGAAGGCATGGTGGTATTCCCAGAGGGAAGGTGGAAGGTGAGAGTGCCCTTGGAACCTTCCCTGGCTCCTATGGGACTAGCCCAGAGACCAATCAGCCTGCGAGCCACAGAGAACAGTGGTCCCCAGAGCAGAGCGCACAGGAGCAGCTGAAGCAGCCACCTGAGCAGAGGCTGCAGAGGTCCTGGACCCTGTGCCCACTTCGGGGAGAACCAGGCCTGCAGACTAGTGCTCCTGCTGGCCACTCACCCAGGCTGTGGGGACAGACTAGCCGCCTCCAGCCCACACCCACTTCCCTCCCCTCCCCAGGTTGCCCGCAGGTGGGAAGGCAGTGGACACAGCGCTGGTGCCAGGCCAGACGCCCCACGATGAGTCTGACCGCAGGACCGAGCCCCGCTCCTCTGTCTCGGACCTTGTGAACTCCCTCACCAGCGAGATGCTCATGGTGAGGGGGCAGAGGGGTGGGGTGGGACAGTGGTTTGTGGCCAGCACCTCAGATCAGTGGGCAGAGAGCCAGGCATGGTGTGGGGATTGCTTGGTGCTTGATGCATGAGCAGGCCAGAGAGGCTGCCATGTGCCTCAGTCCCTCTGCTCACCAAGTGAAAATGAGAGTAGCATCTTCATCCATCCCGTTCTGGTTAAGAAGGGGGCCAGGAACACAGCTTCCGCAGTACAGGCAGAGGACAGGGACTGGGCAGCAGGTGGGCGTGGCTATCCCCCCCCCATCTCCTGTCCCCCACCTTCCCTCCATGTCCTGGCTGGAGGGCTCCTAGCCCTATCCCGCCTGACCTCAAGGGTTGATGGAGTCTCTGGGCGCCCCCTGCTGGTGACCATGCAGCACACTTTTCAAAGATGTGGCCGGAACCGAGGGTCCCGCTGTCCAGGGCTCCAGGAAAGGCTGGGAGGCTGAGGGTGGTCACTTGCACCTGCTGCTCCCTTGGGGATGACCTGAGACCAGTCATCTCCGTAGGCCCCATCCTCCACGCAGGCTGCGTTTGGGGATTCCAGCTGTCTGCCGTCCTCAGTTCAGGGTGGCCAGTCCCTGGGCCTCAGGGGTGTCCACCAGCCTGGCCATGGGACTCTCACATGCCTGTCTGTTACCACACACAACTGAGTCCCAGGTCGGTAGGGTGAGATGCAGGACTCAAGGCAGTGGGCTGTTGGGGTCCAGGTCTGCACTTATGGGTTCAGGGTGAAGCACCTCCCTTCCAGTGGCCAGGGCCCTACCCACTGCCTGGTCGGTTGTTTCTGCTGATTGGTTCCCTCCCTTCCCCACCCAGCCCAGGGGCAAGAAGTGATAGTGCATTGCAGCAGGGCTGGGGAGCTCCGAGAGACCCCAGTAGTGGGGGCAGGAGACAGAAGTCAGGTGCCTTAGCACAAGGGCTAGCTTGATGCTCTCTCTGTGTGCTTCTTGAGATGCAGTCTGGCTAGGTTCCTGGGCTGGAATTGAAATCCTGGGCTCCAGGAACCCTCCTGGGTCGGCCCTCGGAGAGTTGGGGTCCTAGGCTATGTCAGGCCCAGTTTGGTCTGATACTCTGGCAGCTTCAGTTACCTGAGGGAGGGGTTGTGTGGCCAACCTGGTTGCCATACAGATGACTGGTTCCCTGGGTCCAGAGGCTCCACCCTTTTACAAGAGGAAGTCCATTTGCTTGCCCAAGGCCCTGACAGCTCCCTGTTCCGGAGCCAAGTAAACAGAGGACCCCAGGTGGGGCCGGAGCCATCTCGGGTCCCTTACAACTGCACCCCAGTTTTAGACTGAATGGGGCCAGTGACTTGCTGGGCCCATTGAATTCTCTGGAGCCAGTGGCTTCTGCTCCACAGAGGCAGAAACTGTCTCCAGGGAGCTGAGAAGATGGGCTTGGGTGGAGCTGCAGGTTGCCCAGTGGGGCTGGAGTCCCTGCCTGTGTGGCAAGGACAGGCAGCCATACTCGGTACCCCAACACCAAGGCTCAGCCTTACAGCCCCTGCGGCTCCACACTGAAACTGGCCAGGAGCACCTGTCTGGCTGGGGTGGCATGGGAGGGAGGGATGCAGCCCTGGGCAGAGGTGGGCCATGGCAGTCTCTCGAGCAGGTAAGTCCTGGCCAGCTGTCACCCTGGACTTGTGACCTAACCTCTGTGAGCCAGCCTCCTCAGCTAGAGTGCAGTGACAGCCACTTGGCAGCGGAGAGGTGACATGAGTCTTCCACCATGGTAGGTGTACCCTGTGTCCTTGTCACTTGGTGTCCCAGCACCACCAAGCCCAAGCTGCCCCTGCAGGCAGGAACAGGAGAGCAGGGCTTGACTCACCCGGGGTCTGCTGGTCCGCTCCCTGCTGGCCAGGAGCACTTGGACAGCAGAAGGCAACAGGGTTTGGGAGTGGCTGTGGCATCACATGCCTGGCTGGGCTCCTGCCCCAGCCGCTTCCTGTTCCACGAAGTCAGGGTAGAACCGAATGTACGCACACAGGGCTGTGCTGGGCTCGCCCTCAAGACCAGGATGGCGCAGGCACAACCCCCATCCCCGAGGCCCAGCAGGTGACATAAGGCACCAGGTGCCCTTAGGCAGGTCTGTGCCCAGGTGCTGTCCAGTCTCTTGGCTCAGACTGCATCGGCAAGGTGGAGCATCAGTGCCATAGACCAATGTGGTCCCCAATATCCCCCACCCTGTACACAGCATCCTGGAACCTAGGGCCCCTTTTACAGGGAATCTTGGGGGACATTTATACTACAGGAGCTGCCCTGACTGGGCCAGTTGTGTCTCCCATAGGCCAAGAAGGTAGAAAGCCTGAGAGGGCTGCAACAGGGGAACCCCAGCAGCCTGAGGTACCTCTGAAGCTTGGGGTTTGGGGCCATCAGGGGCCTCCTGGCTCAGGACCTCTCCCTCCCTTGTCCCCGTGAGGATCTGCCAGAGCCTTGCTCTGCATGCCTCTGTGTCAGCTGCTGACTGTGGACATGACTGGCCATCACCTGTCCCAGCATGAGCCGAGAGGGAGCAGAGTCTGCTCTGCCAGCTGCCAGGGAGCCAGGAGGCAGAGTCCCCCCATCATGGCCTCTTCCTTCCCCAGCTGTCTCCCGGCTCTGAGGAGGATGAGGCCCACGAGGGCTGCAGCCGCGAGAACCTGGGCCGGATCCAGTTCAGTGTAGGCTACAACTTCCAGGAGTCCACGCTCACCGTGAAGATCCTGAAGGCCCAGGAGCTGCCGGCGAAGGACTTCAGTGGCACCAGCGATCCTTTTGTCAAGATCTATCTGCTACCTGACAAGAAGCACAAGCTGGAGACCAAGGTGAAGCGGAAAAACCTCAACCCCCACTGGAATGAGACCTTCCTCTTCGAAGGTGAGCTTCCCTTACCCAATGCACATACACACTTGTGTGCACACACATGCCAGCCTGAGGCAGGAGGCTTGCAAGTTCCAGCCCAGCTGGGCAGTGTAGCCATGTAGCGAGAGCCGTATCAGAATTAAGGCAAAAAGAACAGGCTGCCCACACAGCTCAGCCTGAAGCCCTGGGTTCACTGCCCAGCGCCACAAAAAACAAAACACAGAATGTGAGCTTGCATGTGCCCTGTCTCAGCCACCTGAGCTGGTGCCCTGGAGCTGCTGGGGCAGGGGCCCTCTGCTGCCCTGACAGCCTGTCTTTCTGTCCTGGGTCTGAGCCTCAGGTCACAGATCGGGGCACAAGGTCAGAAGTGGGTTCTCCTGGCACCTGCAGAGAAAGAAGCCACAGCCCTTTCCCAGCAGCCTGGCCTGCTGCTGCTGGGAGGGATGGCACAGCCAGCAGGATGCCAGCTGTCACATGCATGTGGAGCCAGCCGGCAGAGCCCCTGTCTATCAGTCACAAACTGTGAGCTCCGTTCTAGGCTCAGAAAAGGACAAGGACTGCAGTGGCCTTGGATAGGTCTCTGGTCTGGTGATTAGGCCATGCACCGCATGATGGTGCTGCAGAGAACCATACAAGTTTCCCTTTGTGTTGCTAAAGAGAATTTCTCTGAGGGGCTGGGGATTTAGCTCAGCAGCATAAGTACCTGCATTGCAAGCAGATGGTCGTGAGTTCAATCCCTGGTACCGATAAAAATGAAAAAAGACAAAAAATAAAAAATAATAAAAAAAAGAGAATTTCTCTGATGAGAGGCCATTCTAGATGGGTTCTAAGCTGGGGGTTTAGCTCAGTGGTATAAGTGCCTGCTTGGCAAACACGAGGTCATGAGTTCGATCCCTGGCGCAGAAAAAAAAAAAAAGATGGGTTCTGACACATGAATAGGAGTTAGACAGGAGACTCCCCACTCTGGCATGCAGAAGTGCTGATTTGGGTACAGGGATCTCAGAGCTGCCAGCCTTCATAGATGGCTTTTCCCTGTTATTTCACCTGGACTTGATGCCAAGGGTCGCCTGGAGTAGGACTCCTGGAGATCCTGTGGCCCCCTTCCCTGGAGCACCTGGAGCTTTCCTCTTGCGCCCACTCTTTCCTGTCTATGGCTTCTCTGTCCCAGCACCTTGCGGGGAATGTCCGAGGACCTTCAGCATCTTCCCCCATCTTTTCTCCTTGCTGCTCAGCCCCAGGCTGACCTATGTCCCCCTTCCCATCCCAGCCTGGCGGGCGAGCAGGTGATGATCAAGGAGACAGGGACGAGTCTGTCACGGCCAGTGGCAAAAAGATAGGGGCAGGGAGACACGGGGCCGAGTCACACAGGGACGGGACCCAGAGCCCGCAAGGCCAAGGCCTTTTACTCTCAGTGCCCTGGAGCTGCTGCAGTGCCCGAGGCCAAGGCACCTTGTCCTGGCTGTTTTTAAACCCACCCTGGCAGCTGCATGAGCCTGGCCCAGGAGCAGGAGGAGGTGGCGGGGTTTGGGGGACTTGTGGCATCTGTAATGGCCTCGTCAGGGCAGAAAGTGGGCACAGAAGAGGGTGGCAGGGAGCACAGGCAGGCCGATACCCGGAAGGCGTGGAGGCAAAGCAGTCTGGTGTTGTGTCCAGCCCTGCTCTCGTCTCGGCTGTGTTCCCCACAAGGCCTGGCCAGCCCGGAACTGGGCCACAGGCAGGTGTACATGCGTAGGGGCAGCACTGCACTCTTCTCAACCCTGGGACCTTGGTCTCTTGTGTTTTGGGGGGCCCCTGTTCCTAATTGCATAGTGCTTGGGGTGTGAGTTACCCTCACCTCCCCTCTCTGTCCCCAGGTTTCCCCTACGAGAAGGTGGTGCAGAGGGTCCTCTACCTCCAGGTCCTGGACTATGACCGCTTCAGCCGCAATGACCCCATCGGGGAGGTGTCCATCCCCCTCAACAAGGTGGACCTGACGCAGATGCAGACCTTCTGGAAGGACCTGAAGCCATGCAGCGATGGGAGTGTAGGCCTCCTGAGCTCTGTTGGGCCTGGGCGTTCCTGGGGGCGGAGCTCCCTGCCAGAGGGGTGGTGGTGTGACAGTGGGGACCCGACACTCCTAGGGCATTCCTGGCACCCCTAAGCCCCCTCTGACCATGCCACTGTCTCTAGGGGAGCCGAGGGGAGCTGCTCTTGTCACTCTGCTACAACCCCTCTGCCAACTCCATCATCGTGAACATCATCAAAGCCCGGAACCTCAAAGCCATGGACATTGGGGGAACATCAGGTGCGGGCTGGGGCACAGAGGGGAACCAGGGCATGGGCTGTGTTGGGACACTGTCCTCCAGGGAGCAGGAGGAGAGGGATGCTCTGAGCTGCAGTAGTCTGGCTTCAAGCCCAGCAGCAATGCTTACTCTCACTGACCTTGGTCAGGGCGCCCACCTCAACCTCAGCTCCCCCAGGTGTTAGCAGAGACACCAGAGACCCCTGGGTCTTTCTGATTGTGTCACTTCGGACTCCCTGGGTCCCACCCTCCCACTTAGGTCCCTCCTACTCCCTCCACCCGGAAGGGTCCCAGACCCCTGATTCTCCCTGCCTACCCAGACCCCTACGTGAAGGTGTGGCTGATGTACAAGGACAAGCGGGTGGAGAAGAAGAAGACGGTGACCATGAAGAGGAACCTGAACCCTATCTTCAACGAGTCCTTCGCCTTCGACATCCCCACGGAGAAGTTGCGGGAGACCACCATCGTCATCACCGTCATGGACAAGGACAGGCTGAGCCGCAACGATGTCATTGGCAAGGTGGGCACCATGGGGGTTTGCCATGGTTTCAGGGGTTTCCCTGCTTCTTTCGGTGAGGTTGGGGTGGCGCCCTCGCCTCACAAAGTCCTGTACCTGGCTTGGCTTGCAGTTTCTGGTAGCTGTAACACAGCCCCCACCTCCTTGCTTTGAGATTCTGTTCTTGCTCTGTTCGGTCTCGGGTCACCTATGGGTTGGGAGGTCAGTGACCCTGCTGGTCCTGCCCCACCTCTCCTCCTCCAGTGGTGCTGGGGCTTGAACCCAGAGTTTTGCAAATCCAGCAGCCCTGCCTCCTGGCACTGTCCTCTCCTTGGGACCTTCCTTCCTCCCGCATGCATGCGGGGGTCACTCAGGCCACACAGCAGAGGGCCAGCAAGACAGCAGGATGTGCAGGGGGTGCCCATATGTGTGCCTGCTACACCTCAAGTCTGTGTGGGGGTGCTGCACCCAAGGCGTGGGCAGCCCCTGTGTGAGTTAGGAACAGCAGCCAGGAGCAGATAGATGGGAAGCACAGGAAGCCTCATCGTGGCCTTGCTGGGGACACCAGACAGAGTGACCCAGGTCCTGCAGCAAGGGGCAGAATGGTGGCAGTTTTCATTGCTGGGGAGGCAGAAGGGCACATGTCCTGGCAGGGCCACGGGGCATCTTGGGCTACACAGACTCCTGGGTCTGAATTGGTAGCTGTTTTGCTTTCACTGGTGGGGACTGAAGCCAGGGCCTTCAAGCTGAGCTGCACCCCAGCTCCGTTTATGTTTTACTTCAAGGCAGGGTCTCACTTAGTTTCTAAATTGCCCAGGCTGGGTTGGATACTGGGATTCTCCCATTTCAGCCTCTCAGGGAGTTCTAGCTCCTTTTGACTCTGGTGAGCTCTGTGGCTCCAGGTCAAACGTGCATGGGTCCCACCGTAGCCTGGGGAGGTCCAGAGCTCGGAATTCAGCCCCCGCAGGGCCAGCTGGTACCACCAGAGCCAAAGCCGAATTGTTTCCAGACAGCATGCATGGTGCCCTGGGGAACCCACAGCGCTGGCCCAGAACTCTGTGGCGGGGCCCAGAGCGCCCTGTGGCCTTCGTCCCCACCTCAGCTCAGTCTGACCCCCCACCACCACCACGGGCAGAGCCAGCCTACTCCCATGCCATCTCCTGAGAGCTTTCAGCTGCAGATCACAAGCAAGCCACAGAGCTTACTTGGTATCCCCGAGCGCCCCCTGCTGTGCGACCAAGGCAGCTCAGTGGCGGCTTCAGAGCCATCCGCGGATGCCATCCATGCCTCACTACCTTCCCAGCCAGTCTGCTCTTAAACCCCACGGTCCGCAGGCTGGGCTGAGGCGGGGGGCGGTCCTTGCCTGTAGCCCCACCCAGGGCCTGGCATGGGAACCAGGTGGCTCAGGGCCCAGCTCAATTGCTCTGTGCCTTGGATCTGGGAACTGTGCTGTCTTCTCACCCGGGTGCCTCTGCCTCCCTGCCCAGAAGGGCAGCACTTTAGTGCAGCACCTGCTGATCTGGGGTAGAGCCCCAAGCTGGTCAGGGGCCCATGGTGCCAGCCCCACGAGAATATGTTACAGTCAGCTGGCCTGAGGCGGGTGCCTCAGGTCTGGGCGTGGCATGACGGGGCTGGGAAGTGTGCGAGGATCATGCCGCCCCGTGCACCCGGCCCCTTGACACGCCACTACCCTTGCTCCACAGATCTATCTGTCCTGGAAGAGCGGGCCAGGTGAGGTGAGGCACTGGAAGGACATGATCGCCCGTCCCCGGCAGCCTGTGGCCCAGTGGCACCAGCTGAAGGCCTGAGAGCCCTGGGACGCCTGGGGGCCAAGGCCCAGGTCCATTGCACTCTCACCACTCCACGCACACCGCCTGGCCCAGCCCCGTTGTGGGTGAGAGGAGGAACCAAGGGTCCTGCCGGGGGTCCCCACACGCAGGGCCAGCCCCCGATGTCCAGCCCTGGCCCACAGTTTGTGGGGTGGGCTCCAGGGCCCCCTCCCTGCTTCACCCACTCCTTCCTGACTTTCAATGCCGAGCAGTTGGGGGGGGGTGCACAGACGGACAGCCTCCAGGGGCCCGCCAGGTGGGCACAGCCCCCGTTTTCTTTATGGCGGTGCCCAGGGTGAAGAGAAGCCCATCCTCCCGGCCCAGGAGCAGGTGCTGAGGCGTTTGGCCCCAGCCTGGCAGGACAGCCCATCTGCAGGTGGCTTCAGGTGCCGGCTGGGCCCTGAACACTGCAGGAGGGGCACAGCTCACACTGACACAGCCGGCCTTGAGGCTCTGGCTGTGTCACTGTGTGCATGCTGGTGACAGGCACTGTGCCCTATCTGGGGTCAGACAGTGGTTCAGAGACGCAGGATTGCCAGGGCCAGGCGGGGTTGCGGGGGCAGGGATGCGACTCCTTCCCTGCAACTTCACCTCTTGGACATCGGTTCACAACTTTTAGGCACCTACCGTGTGCATAGCATTCCACCAAGACCCACGCTCCCTTCCGTCTCAGGTGTCCCAGCCCCGCCGGCTCCTCCCTACCCCTTCCCCACCTCCTGGGCCTGGCCCATCCCTGCCTTCGCCTAGCTCAGGCCCTCCCTGCCTTCCTTCCTGGTGAGGGCTCTCATCTGACCCGGGCTGCCTGGTCCCCGGAGCGGCTCCTTCCAGCCTCCTGCCAACCGGCTGGATCCTGAGGTGACCGAGGCTAGGGGTGCAGGCTTCCCGCAAGACAGCAGAAGTCAGGACCACCCGGCTCGAACCCCTGCCCCCTCCCCAAGCTGGTCCTCCTGCGGCGATAGGGCCTCCCGACGTTCCCAGAACACACCGCCAGGTGGCGCCAGGACACCGCAGGAGGCGGGGCACCTGGCCGGGAAGGCGCGGGCTCCCTGAGCCCAGCTAGTGGCGTGTAGCAAAGGCCGGCCCGCCGCGAGGTTCTCGGCTCTCTCTCGCATGGAAGCCCCCGCCCCCCGTCCCCCACCCAGGATCCGCAGGGAGGGGTTCCGGTAGGCGCGCAGTTCTGTGGGCGAGGAAGGCCTATGGGATGTGCAAAGCCGTGGTCCCCACAGCCCGTGTGAGCAGTGTCCCTCATGTAGCTGTGTGTGGCGTGGTAGAAGGCGGGGGAGCGGGCTCTACTCTGCGTCTGCCCTGAGGGACCCGCCACAGAGCCCCGGTCCCACGCGGCCACGCGGCCCACAGCCATCCAGGCAGGGGCCTGGTTCTGGCAAGAGCCAGGTGCACTGTGCGCCTTTCCCATGTGGGAGGCTGCGTGGCTGGGCTGGGGGGGGGGGCTGGAGAACGGAGCGACGCGGGCTGGCAGTAGCTGGGACGGCCTCGGGGAGCCAGAGGGCAGGGCACGGGGATGTTGGGGGGGGTGCCTCAGCCTGGCCTCTGACCCAGGATCTCCAGCAGTCACCCACCCTTCCTGCAACTCAGTTTCCCCATCTGCAAATGATGGTAATAATACTTCACCTACCTCATGGGGGAGGTTGTGAGGTCACCATCGCCCTGACCTGGGGCTCTAGCGAGACGGAAGGACCCTGACGGTGCTAAGGAAGCAAAGTATTATTACCGAGGCCTGAGTGCTGCCCACCGGCGGTCTCTGCCCCGGGACTCGAGGCCTGGGCCCCGTCTCTCTGCCGCGTCCTGGGTCCTGTCACAAGTGTCCTCCGCCTCGTTTGCGGCGCCCTAGACCCGGTCATGACCCGGTTCAGCGCTCTTCTTGTGAACATCACCCCATCCGCCTGACCCCCACACCACCACCACCCAGGCTCCCGAGCCAGGGTTGGGGACAAAGGAAAAAGCCACACAAAAGCCACGGGGTGTCCAGCCCCTGGGGTGGGGACTGGTGGCTGTTGTTTGTATCGTGTTTGAGTCTTTGAGTGCAAGTGTTTTATAAAAAAAAAAAAAAGACAAAAACCCACTAATACAAAAAAAAAGAAAGAATTTTTGCAGTGAAGAGAAATGAAGAGAAAAAGCTGAAGAAACAAAGAAAAAAAGAACCATACAGAAGTTTTCCACCACATACACCCTGTAAGCCAGCAGAATTTCCTCTTTGCAAAATCCTATTTTTGTGGGAATGGGCCCTGCTGTCGGGTAAGGCCTGTTCTGATTAATAAAGGATGGTGAAAAGCAGGGCATTGGCTGTTTACTCTCTGGGCCCTGCTCAGCCACCTTGGGCAGCAGCGGCTGGGTGAGCAGTTGGGGACCCCAGCCAGTCTCCAGCACATGCCTGTTGCCCCGGGGCTGGATGTCGCTGGCAGCCTGGCTCTTCCCCAGAACACAGCAGGCCTGGAGTGCGGCTTTTCAGTTCAGTTCCCTGGCCAGACCATTGTCCCCTAACCTGCCTGTGGAGCCTCTGCCTGGGTCCCCACAGAGGGCCTGCAGCCCCTCTCCACCCTGATCTTAGTTCACCTCTTCAAGGTCAGGAAATGCTCCCCCAGGAGAGGGGCCCCTGCAGGTTCTAGCCCACGTTGAGGAAGCTGGGCCAGGCTCTGCTGTGGCTGTGACAAGCCAGGCACGCCATTTTCTTCCCTAGAGAAGCAATAACTGCCCTGCCCTCTCCAGCCCGAGGCAGGGCCAGGCAGCTCAGGCCCCCACCTCCCAAGGGACAGGCGCACCTCCAGGGCCCATGTCTACCCAATGGCCATGCCCTCTCTGGAACGAGGGACCCACACCCCTCCATCGGCCCAGCAGCTGCCCTCAGTGTCCTGGATTATGTGGGGGTGCAGTGCTGTGGCGAGCACTTGCCAAGCATACAGGAGGCCCTGGGTCCCCTCCCCAACATGAGACAAAGAGACCAGTGTGACCTGTGACCTGTGCCAGAGTCTGGAGGAGCTGGGGTCAGGTGAGTCACCTTGGGTCCCACTGGCTTGCCAGGCTGTGTCTGTCACCGTGCTTGAGATACAGCCCACTAGCAGAACTTCCCCACTGTACCTCCATTCCTCAGGCACCATCCTCATCCCTACCAGGCCACTGTCCCAGGGTCCCCTTCCCCACAAGTGCCCACTCCAGAAGGACAAGGCTGACTCATTGTTTCCCCCAGCCTGTGGCCCCGACCTCCTGTCACTGTAAAGGCAGCCCTGCTCCCACCCCTGTGTCTGTCTTGTGTGTGTGTGTGTGACGTGTCTTGTTTAGATTGTGAGCCCCTGGGCAGGGACTGTCTGCATATACGTTCTGTGCTCACGCCTGTGTGTGCTAATAAATGTCCATCCTCAGAACCATAGCGCCCGCCCAGTGTCTTGGGGAAGCCAGGGAAGTGCTCCAGGTGGGACCCCAGGGTAAGGCCCTGCAGGAGAAGGAGGGCAGGAAATGGAGAGACCTGGGTGTTGGGCCCCACATTCTACCTGTCCATAGACTCCAATCTATCGAGAGAGCAGAGCCTGGCTTCAGTCCTGCACTCTGCTTATGGGTCTGGGAGCCAGAGTGGGCCCTGCAAGATTCAGGAGGCCACAGCCCAGGCTGTCCCTGCTGCCCCCTGCTCTCCTCCCAGCTCCCAGCCTGCCTTCCTGTTCCGACCCCAGCCCCTGGCACAAGCAATCCTTCAGGGTTCTCTCTCTAGCTCCACCACGGCCTGTCTACCCCAGTGCTGCAGGAGGAGCACAGTCCCTGCACCGGTCCAGCTTTGGCTGTGCCTTGGGGAACCAGCACAGGCATTATCAGTGTCCCTCATGTGAGGCCCAGGAAAAGTCACAGGACACAAGTGGAGGAGGGCCAGGACTGCCGGGGAGCCATGACACCTGCTGGACCAGGGAGCAGCACCCTGTCTCATGGACTCTTGCCGGTCCCCACAGCCAGGCACTAACATCTGCTTCAACCAAATGACTTCCCAGAGGTGCTGGCTCCTGGTGGCTAATAGCAAGCAGCATGATGGGCACCCAGATGCCAACCTCTACTGTTTCCTGAAGGAAAGCAGCATATTACAAGGGTGCCAACCTTGGTAGAGCCAAAGGGGAGAGTCGAGTGCCTCAGCTGACCCAGGGGAGGCCAGCGCAGGGCCTTGTAGCAGGGGAGGAAGCACAGGGAGCTGGGAGAGGGAGGAAAGAAACTGAGCTTCAATCCTGCAGAAAGAAAGGCAGGCGAACTCTAGGGTGCACACACTGAGCTGTAGCATCACCCTGAGTAGCCCTACTCCTTCATGCAGATGGGGAAATGCTGCCTGGGAAGCAGGCACTCACCTGTGGCTCTTGGGGCCAGGCCCAGGCACCTGCCTTCTGCCACAAGTCCTTGTATAGCTTGGGAAGGTAGTTCTAGCCCACGCCCATCCTGAGTGATCCTGGGGCCTCCTCAATTCCTTGCTTCAGGAACTCAGGTCTCAGGAAGATCCTCAACATGCCCAACCCTCCTCCTTGGGAAGGAGCAGGCTGCTCCAGACCTGTGCCCAGCCCCCACCTTTCCAGGTTCCAGCAGAGCATGCCAGCCAAGCCCAGGGCAAAGCCTGACCTTTCAGGGCCATGTGACATCAGTGCTTGTTGCCATGGGGACAGAGACTAACAGGACCTTCTCATGGGAGACAGACCTCAAGGCTGTCTCCCCTGGGGGGAGGAGGGGCAACAGTAGAGCTGAGCTGAGCTGAGCAGGAGCCTAGGGAGAGAGGAGGAGGGCACGGCTCAGGTACAGAGAGAGACAGTCACCAAAGAGATCAGTGGCTTTCTGTGCCCGCAGAGGACACAGAAAGCTCAGCCTAGCTCTTGAGAGATGGAAAAACACCCAGGACTTCATAGTTGAACCGGGGGACAGGACAGCCCAGAGCAGGGAAGCGGAGACAGACATAAGGACAGAGCCTGCAGGGGCCAAAGCCACCACTGCTGGTGGGAAACGCTGTCCCCTGATGAATGAAATGATGACAGTCAGCCAGGGCCAGCCTGGCAGAGGGCTGGGACACTCGGGCAGGGCACCGAGGGCTCCTGAGCTTATGAAAAACAGGCATGTGGGAGGCACACATTCTTTCTCCAAGAAATATAATTTACGAGTACAGTCAGCTTTCTTTCTAAAGAAAACACAACGAGGGCCCTGGCCTGACGGCATCCCTGAGTGTCCTCTGGCCCTGCCCTTCCTCCCCTTATTGCTCAAACGAAAAGACCTGGCCCTAGGGATGGAGGGCCATCACACAGGGCCTGACCTGTGCCCTGCCAGTGCTAGCCAGGCCGGCTGTGCCCATTAAGGGAATGGAGAGTGCAGGCAGGGGGAGAGTCCCTGGCAGCCTCTGGAGAGTGGAGCCCCTCTCTTTGGTGCAGGAAGCCAGGCAGGCACAGTGGCTTCTTTTCAAACTTGATAGTTGCCGGCTCGGGCTATGGGGAAGGAAGAGGGAGCTCTCTGCCCAGCAAAATACCAGGCACATGCTGGGAGAAGAGTCCAGACGGAAGGGAGGAAGGGTGCCCACAGAGATCCTGCGAGGGAGGAGCACAAGAGGCCCAGGTTGGGGGGGGGGGGTGTTTACAGGCAGCTTCTCCCACTCTCTGCCCTGGGCCTAGCCCTCCCTCCGCCGAAGGGCTGCACAGTGCTTCACAGTGCATCCCAGAGGTAGCCACTCTGGAACCAGATAGGGTGTGGGCTGGGAGAGCCAAGCCCCATGAGGAAGGCATAGACGCCCTGGCAGTCGGATGATTTTGCCTAGAGCAGTGACCCGGGTTCCAGGGGGAGGAGAGGACGGCGCCTGGCCACCCCACACCCCAAAGATTCCTCTCTACCGGTCCCCTCTGCCTCGCGGCTGGCCTCAATCACCAGTCACACCCCAGCCTCAGGTATCCAGGCCGGATAGGGCCTCCAGGGTGCAAGGCCCGCACGCGGGGTTCCCCAGGGCCCGGGCGCCTGCACTCCCGATCAGCAGCTCCTCCTCCTCGTCGTCCTCGAAGGCTCGCGTGGGGCGGCGTGGTGGCGGCCTCGGCGTTGGCTCATCGCGCTCAGCCATGCGCTCGACGGCGCCCTCGCCCACAAGGAAGACCGTGTCGGCGACGCGCGGGGGCCCGGTGACCGGGTTGTGGTCGTAGGAAAAGACGCGCAGCGCGCGCAGCGGTTGCAAGTCGGGGAAGCCGCCCAGGCGGTTTCGGTCCAGGTCGAGGATGTGCAGGCGCCCCATGCGCAGCAGCGCGGGCGGGAACTCCTCGAAGCGGTTCCCGTAGAGCCAGAGCCCGCGCAGGCCGATCATTCGCGGGAGCTCGGCAGGCAGCGCGCGCAGCCGATTGTCGCCCATCTGCAGCGACTGCAGCGCCACGAGGCGCAGAAGCGGCCGCGGGAAGCGCCGCAGGAAGTTGCTCTCGATCCAGAGGCAGCGCAGGCTCTGCAACTGCGCGAAGTCGGCGGGCAGCGCGCGCAGCCTGTTGCCACCCAGGTAGAGGCGTAAGAGGCGCGGCAGGCGGCACAGCCCGTCGGGCAGGCGCTCCAGTTTGTTAGAGTCCAGCGCCAGGATACGTAGCTCGCGCAGCTCCTCGATCTCCTCGGGCAGCTCGCGCAGTCCCGCGCCGCTCACGTACAGCTTCTGCAGGCGACTGAGCGCGCACACGGCGCCGGGTAGCCTCCGCAGCCGCCGCCCGCTCAGCTCCAGCTGCTGTTCGCCGCTGCGTAGCTGCTCCTCGGCGTCCGACGGCAGCTCGTCCAGCGTGGACTCCGCGATGCCCATGGTCACGGGCCCGGCTGGGGCCTCCACCGCTCCACATCGCCCCGCCCCGCCCCGTGGGTCTCGGAGCTCCCCCGCCTGGCTGCGCCCGCGTCGGGCCGGGCCGGGTGGAGGCGCTGGTCGGGCCCCGCCGCCACTCAGTGAGGTTCTGGCCCGGCCCGGCGCGGGCTGGCTGTTAGGCGGCCCGTCGCCTTGGCAATCCTGGACGTGCGCGTGGCAGCCAATGAGCGTCTGGAATGGGCGGGGCTCTCCCATCGCCCCGCCCCCGCGGGTCCGCCTCCGCCGCCGTCAGAGCTGAGCTGCATGGGTCGTGGGCACGGAACCCGGGACTCGCGCGGGATGCGGGACTCGCGCGGGATGCGGCCCTCGCAAAGGCCCTCGAGGAAGGGCGCGGCCACGTCCAACCTCCTGTGGGTCCCTTTAGGACAGCGGTTCCCAGCGGAGAGACTTGTTCCTTTCACGCCGGGTACGGGCGGGACGCGGGGCTCTGCGCTCCCCATGCTGCGCCCACGCAGGCCTATGCGTACCGAGACCTCGAGGACATCCTGGACGGGGTGGGGCTGCGCGGGCGGAGTGCGAGAAGCGCCGCTGACGTGACCTCCCGCCTGCGCGCCTGGCCTCTGCAGACAGAGAAACAGGCTGAGGTGACAGGGAAACAGGCTGAGGTTCGACATGAGCCAATTTACGCGGAGTGGGGTGACTCCCCCAAGGTCCCCAACTAGGAAGCCGCGGAGATTTGAACCCCGGCAGAGTGGCTGCAGCCCTAGATGCTGAACCCTACGCTGCTGGAAAGTCGAGGAAGAGGCCTCTTGGAGGGGTCAAGGTCGCATGGAGAGGGGAGAACACAGTCCAGACCGGCGCTGTGACTACGGAAACTAGCTGAACAGACAAATCTCAGGGCAGCACCCTGTTCACCCACCCTACTGCTTTCCCCACATGAAGGGAAAATTTAAAGCGTTATCAAAATGGGAGGTGGGAACTGTGGCCAGCACCTGTAGTCCCCGCTAGTAGGGTAGCTGAGGCAGGAAGGTCTCAGTACAGGAAATTCAAGAGCAACGCATAGTGAGATGCCCATGGGGGTGGAGGCAGGGAAAAAATAAAGGTGAACTTTACATAAAGCGAACTGCGTAGAGCCTAAGAAGTGTTATTTGGGTGTATGTTGACACGCGCACACCCATCCCATGTCCCATTTCTGTCACTCAGTGTCCCCGGGCTCTTCCACAGCACTGCCCACCAGCGGTCCTGACCTGCACCACTGCTGGGTGCTGACTGTTTCTGCCTCCTGTAAAGGACTTTGTTCCACACGTTCCTGGCTTCCTTCACCCCAACACGGATGTGGATTTGCTGGATAAAGGGAGGAAGTGAGCGCTACAGCTGCTCTCATGGGCAGGGTGTCTGGGGTGCCTGGTGAGAGGGGGCCCAGGGACCACACTTCGAACCCCTATCCTGGGAGAGGCTGGAGGGCTGGGGACTCCGCCAAGTAGTTGCGGACTGCAACTACAGACCACTGAGTACACGGAGCCTCCAGGCTCCCCTTTTACTCATTTCGGGGGACCTTTGGGGAGGGCAGGCACAGAGGAGGGGCAAGGGAGCTGGGGAATCCCAGAGGCACTGACAGCTGAGCCTGTGGGACCCCCTCCCTCGCCGTTCACCCAGGGAACACTTCCAGTGGAGGAGGTACTCAGCCGCCCCCGGCCACATGTTCGGAGCTGGCACTGAGGCGCCATGCGGCCCTCCTGGCTCCATGAGCACCCGCAGCGCCCAAACCAGGCTGTCACTGCTTCACCCTGTTCAGTCCTCCACCCGTGCCTGGCAGCCCCTGCGCCTTCCCCTCCCACCGGGCGCTTCTCAGTGGGTAAAGGGAAAGCGCGCTGCGCGCGGCCTACGCGGGACAATCATCCCGATGATTCACACGGGCGCCTCAGGCTAATGAATTAGCTGTACCTCGGCTTTGGCCGCTCCCTCACCTCCCCCTCAGCGGGAAGCCAGGAACAGAGCTGCCAGCGGCAGGAGCAGCCCCAGGTGCGCCGTCGACTGCCAAGATGTCCCAGCCTAATCCTCAGAGCACCGCTTGCAGGCGCTGTTGCCGAGAGAGCTCTGAGACGCCCGCCGGGAGCACTCTGTGACCAACACCGGCGCCTGGCCTCCAGCCTGCACGCCCGCCCGCTCAAAACCAGTTTCGTTGTAAATAAAAGAAGAGGTCACCGCCAGCAGGGGGCGCCTCCTGTCTCCCGGCTGGCCCAGGAGCCAAGGCCAGGAGCCAGGATCCTGGGTCGTCACTGGAGCCCGCCACGGAGACCCCTGAACCTCAAACAGAGCAGGGGAGCACGTCTGTATCAGAGGAGCTGGGGTGCCTGTCCCACAAAAGCGCGTGGAGGTGGGGACTCACACACTTGCCCAGGACCTTGCCCCTCCTCTGGCAAAGGAGAAAGGAGTGGCGCCCTTTACAGCACAGCCGGCTCCATCACCTGCACCAACCAGAACTCCTATCCCAGCACTTTCGACAAAACTTAAACACCTAGGAGGCCCTGGGGGCCACTGTGCCTGTGACAGACCAAGGCCCTGCCTTGTTGGACTGCAATCCCTGTTGGTGGAAATCATCCACAAGACACAGGGGCATGGCTGGCCAAGCTGTGGCGGGGAAGAGAAGAGGATGGGGGAGGTGCTCCCGTGGAAAACTGAGCCCTGGGGAGGGAGGGCTTTGAGAGGCTAGGGACAGGTGAGGGGCAAGGAGGCTGAGGCAGGCCGATGTCTGCGGTGTGCCTTCCTGACAGAGGGGCCAGCAGAGGAACAGGAGTGGTGGAGCCAGGGAATAAGTAGTGAGGAAAGGTGGGCCTCAGAGGGCCTGGCACCCATGCGGGCGGAGGTCATGGAGCCTAGGCCTGGTACTGTGGTGCTACAAGGAGGTGGGGGAGTCGGCACCCCTCTCCACCCACACTCCTGGGAGTGGCCCTTCCGGAGCACCTGTCCCTCGCACTGCGGCACTGCAGCCTGCGCCCCACCAACCCCCACAGGCAGCAGGGAGAATTATTAATCACTGTCACCATTTCCACCCAGCCCAGCCCTCGGCAGGGGGATGAGGGAGACCACCCAGGAGCCTGCTGTCCTGTGTGGACTTCTGTGGGGGGGGACCAGCAAGTGCTCACCACTGAGGCACACTGCTACCGCCTCTGTCTGGAGATGTTTCTGGGAACAGGCAGAGGGTGAAGAGCCAACCCCTCCATCCCTGGGCCCAGGGCTGTGTGTCTTGCTAACTGGAGAGCAACCCTAGAGCCTCTAAACAGGTAGAGGCCCCAGAGCCCAAACGCCCAGGCCCAGGGCTGCCCAGGGATGGTGGTTGGGCTCAGGGTCCACTCAACAGCAGGACCCAGGTGGTGGATGGCAGCCACCTGCTCCCCACATCCTCCCTGGAAAGCAGGAGCTAGGTGCCACCTAGGATCATGTTCCCTGGACACAGCACTGGGCTTGATGTCTGCTCTGTGAAAGCTGAGCCCTCTGGCCCTCAGGGACACCAGAGATGGGGGAAGAGGCCAAGGACATGTGATGAAAAATAGTGGCTGGAGTGAGCCCTGAACCAGCAATGGGGCAGAAGGGAGACCAGTGCCACATGGGTGCTCCCTCAGCGTGGCCCCTCTCTCCACAGTAACAGCTGCCACTGCAACCACGTTACATCAAGAAAAACAGGAAACGTTCAGGACATTCTGTTTAAACTCCAAGGCTGTTTGGGACTGAGTCAGCTTCAAGTGCCTGGTTTGGTTTACCCCAGGACCTTTGCACATGCCTACCCCTCTGCTCCATGCACATGATTCATCCTTCATCCTTAGGGTCTCCACTGAAATCTTACCCACTCTGGGAATCCTTCCAGAATCTTCATAGCATGTGGAGCCCACAGAACGATTTTTTGAGTACTCACATGTCTCCTTCAAAGGACTGACTCCAATGCTAATAAATGATTAACTGTGTTATTTAGGGTGTGAGCTCCAAGCACAGGAACCTTTCTCCCACATGTCCCCCGGAGCCACGTGGCCACTTGGACTGTCTCCATCTCTGCTCCTCAGTTTTCACACAGGAAGCATAAAGCTGGGGAGGGGGGCAAACTCCACATTTATGGTGAAGTACAACCTGATACAGTGTTTCTAAAATCTCAGAATGAATGCTAAAAAAATCATGAGGGGCGGGGATGTAGCTCAGCAGCATATCGCCTGCCTGGCAAGTGTGAGGTCCTGAGTTCAATTCCCAGTGCCAAAAATAAATCAAATAAATCATGATGAACAAAATACTAAAGCTTGAAATCAAGACCAGATCAGTACCAGTGCTGTGCCGAGGCTTACTGCAGTGGATGATACAAGGAAAAAGCCATAACCACACCCTTGTTTAGAAGGTGGCTGCTTGGTTCACATGGAACTGTGGGCCAGCCTGCAGCTCAGTGGGAGCCTGGCCTGGCAGGCACCAGACCATGGGTTCATTCTCAGGACAGGGGAGAAAAGACTGTGTGGACTTATTTATCTCGATTATGGGGATTTGAGCTTTTCTTCAAATGCCTGCCAGTGAGCATCTCCTCTTCCCGGAAGCTGCCCTCTCAGGCAGGGATTATCACTAGCTCAAGCCTTACTGAGGGGAAGAGACCAGAGAGCCACATCATCACCTGGAGGTTCTAACTGCCATCAAGCCCAGGCTTTTTATATATCCATTCTGCCCCCTTCAGATGCTAAGCTGCTGCTTCTGTTTGCTGCTGTCTGAGGAAAAATGAGAACAAAGAGTCAAATCCTTTGCTCTAAAGACTTTGAAAGCCAGAGCTGAGGCTGTACCCTTCCAAGTCTGGGGTGTTGAGAGAGAAATCTTTTTGTAAGTCCAAAAGCCTGGCTTTGAACTTGAAGAGCAGACAGAGGATGCTGTGAGTTCCAGACAGGGGAAGCATGTGTCATCACAGATGGACAGCCCATCCAGGAGGAGCCTAAAGGCTCAGCCTGCTGGGCAGCTAGCTGCGAAGGCATACAGCCACGCCTGACCCCATGCTGGAAGGACAGGGTGGCATCAGGCTTTCAGGGGGACTCAGCACAGAGGGGCCCCAGGCACCTGCCCTTAGCAGGCAGTGTGTCATGTGTGCACAGGGAGACAGTGGTGGCAGGGAGCTGGGCCCGGCTCCAGGGAGGTGCAGATGGAGTAGGCTTCTAGGCCTGAGGGGTCACCAGGCACAGGGAAGGCAGC